CTTATCATCACATGGCAGCGCTCCATTTCGTCGTAATTTTTAGTAAACAAATGAGGTTCAAACGGGAGTAAAATGTAATTTTTAAAATAAAGATTTTTTAGGTAATAAACCTACTAAAAGTGTAAAATGTGGATTTATTTAAAAGTTTATAGTGTAAATTAATTAATTTAAAGTGAAAAATGTGAATAAAGTGTGTTTAAAGTGGTGTAATAGCCACTTGAAATGTCCTAACTTTGAGGTCGAATATCTAAACTAAGCGTTTGCGGTACCTATAACCCTATATATTTTTTGATCAGGAGAACGTCCTCTTTCTAACGGTACCTTCAAGTCGCGGCGCCAAAGAAATCGGAATTGTGCCTTTTTGCATAATCCTCCACTGGAGAAGCTTCCCTATGAGCACATACCCCATTTGTACTGAGATTCGTGTTTTTTACCCGACCGCCATAGTAATTGAAATCGTGAGCTAAGTTTTGAATTTACAAAATCCACTATTCTGCATCTACTACTCATTTCACTTATTACTACTTATTCTAATTGCAAACTTGGTTAAAACACCGGATTATGACAGACAGTAGATGAAACTCGGAATTTATTATTTTACTCATATATTAATATTTCAAAATGTCCTTTTTTTGAACAATTCCGGTGTTGAATCGACTAGGGCTGTTTTTCTTTAAGGTGTTAGGTACATATTTAAACAATGTTTCCTGAAATTTTTATGTAAAAATGTTGGAAACTCAGTCGTTGAGACCTCATCTCCCTGGGTGTTACAAAAAAGTGCTCTGGCCGTGGACAGCATAATTTATTATTGGTTCATTTAAAATTAAAAACCCAAAAATATTCCGTTCCGTCTCGTGTTTGAATCAAGGAAAACAAAAAAAAATCATATTTTTTAATGTTACTCTTAAGATGTGTACACAATTCGAAATAAATCGGTTCATAACTTTTCAAGAAATCGTGTCCGCAGTCTTCAAGAATGGAGTTATGAGAAAAACGCATTTAAAGTAGGTGCGCTGCACCGACGTGACCTGCTGGGCGAAACTTCCGAAAGGTCTTTATCTTAGAATTTTACTCTTATAAATTTATTACTTTGGGAGAATATTTTAAACATAATGCACTATTTAATAAGACCAAAAAAATCATTTTTTTTTATTAAATTGTTAATTATTGTGTAGAAACAAAGTACTGAAGTGTAAATGGACATAAAAGTTAAAAATAAAAGTGCAAAATTCGTTATAAATCGGAGAAAAACGCAATAGTTGAATTTTGGAACTTTAAACGCAAATATCTCAAAAACCATGTCAGTGGCAACTATATACATACATACATACATACATACATACATACATACATATATAT